TTATCCCTCAAAGAGAACAGAATCACTGAGATGATAACATATTTTGGAAAATTAAGTATTGAAGCTGGTCTTTTACTGCCAAGAGACATATTATAACCTATGGAAATAAATAGTTCAGCATATAATTTATCCATCCAATAAAATATATCCTAATAATTATCTGAGACTTCCTTTTTTGTCCCTTATTAAGTGTACATTGATGAATGTATATTGACATTTCTTTATTCCCAATACAAACCCTGATTTGTATTATCTAATGTTAGCATACTTTCTGTCCGCTCCTTATGGGAGGTTCTTCTGCCCAAACATAGTAGATGTTAATTTTTAGTTACTTTCAACAAAACTTATGCTTTCCTATGTATCATTTATTGTCTATTCTAAGTCCTTCTTTGGCTAAATAACGTGGCCATAAGCAGGCAAGTAGATTTTGCATCAGTGATGCTGGGACCCTTTGGACATATCAGTTTGTTATATTTGGAATCCTGATGCTTTGTCATACTGCCGTGCTCAGTGAGTCTTTGTTAAATTGAAAGGTTTTGCTTTCCAGAAGTTTTGGGCAATTTAAAAATAAGCCAGTGTGGACCACAGTATAGTTGATTGTAAAGTTGGCTTCCAGTTGTTGAGTGTGTGCTATGTGCCAGGCACTTCCAAGATAAGCCATATAGAAGTAAAAATGGAACTAGAAGGAAAGCATTTCCCTGAAGCACACTCAGCAGACCTACTGGATCAAATCCTAGGCAATATTTCCAATGATAAGTTTTTCTTTTGAATATATTTAAATATGTTTTATCAATCCATCAACTTCCTTTTAATAGGTTGCCATGAAAGAGGGAATATGCATTAATTCTATAGCATGCATTCAGTGATGGTCAACCTGTTCTTTCCATAATTATGGAGAAATGAAGCTACCCCACAGAAGAAATAATCTCTTTATGATAATAAAAAGAAATCTATTGGGGCATCTGGGTGGCTCAGGTGGTTGAGCCTCCGACTTCAGCTCAGGTTATGATCTTGAGGTTCATGAGCTCCAGCCCTGCATTGAGCTGTCAGCTCAGAGCCTGGAGCCTGCTTCTGATTCTGTGTCTCCCTCTCTCTCTGCCCCTCCCCCGCTTGTACGCTCTCTCTCTCTCTCTCTCTCTGTCTCTCTCTCTCTCTCCCATACACACACACACACAAAAATAAATGAAAATATTACAAAATTTAAAAAATAAACAAATCTATCCCCCAAATTTAGCCAGAAATCTGAACTGTCTTACTTAGTTTAGGCTTCAAAGTGAGTTACTGGGTGAGATTTCTAAACTACATCCTGGGTAACAGATTCTGCTTCTGTCCTTTTTCACCTCAGACACTAACACATTCTCTTCTCACAGCTTACTAGGGCCCAGGTAGAGTAAGGGAGTTATCTGGAAATCTCACAACTATGTATTTGAAGAACCAGCAGATGAAAGCATACCCCTATAGTTACTCAGTAAGGCTATGGGTTGGGTGCAGAACAGCACTCATTTCACTTTGGTGTCCCCCCCAGTTGCTAAGACCTTGCCTTCCACTTAGAGTCAGTTGGGATTAATAACATGTTTATTATTTTTTACATATAGAATGGTTACATTTTTTTAACTACAACCATAAAAATTGAAAAATATTCTAACTGATAATAATAGCTGTTGCCTGTTGAATGCCTATTGGGTTTAGAGTTTCAGGTGCATGGGTTTTGAGCCTTATGCTAGCACTGTTGTACTGGAGATTTTGTACTTATTTAACAGATAAGGCTGCTGGGCTTGGGTCCTGAAAATAGAGAAGCACCTTACTGGCCATCCAGTTAGACTCCCCAGCCTTCAGCGCATCAGTCCGAAAGGTCACCTGTAGTGCATCATTTCAGAATCACATAAGAAAAGGCAAGCACCAGTATTTGTGTTCAGGAGCTGATGCCTTCTAGTTCTAAGATGGTCAGAGGGGAGCATCCTATACTGGGCTCTGTGCACAAAGCCTAAAAGTGGTAACTCTATCTAGAAATACCTTATGAGATTTTCTCCTGGTGGGAGGAGGGAGAGCCGTGCAGGTGGAGGGAGGGGCAGTAGTCAAAGTAAAACATTTCAAGAGAGAGGATGGAGCTAGTGCATTTGCAGTATAGCTAATTAGGAAAAAAAAAAAAAAAACTAAGCTAAACTAACACTTCTGATTGTTGTTCTCCTTGGTCCTTGCACTTGTCAATTGCTTTCTAATGTTGAAATCAGAAATTATTTGTTTAGGGCATGGCTAAAAATGAAGGACTCAAAAGAATGTCCATAAATCTAAAGCCTTAGAAACCAGCTGAAACCATGAAGGCAACTCAGAGAATGAGAAAGAGAAAAGAGTGCTGAGTTCTTACTAATGAAGGGGACAATGTATTGCTATAGCTGTTCTGAGAGGCTTTAATCCTGCCGCTGAGACCATATGTGCATATGCGTGCATACACTAAAATATTTACTTTTTTATAAACTCCTTTTGTGAAATATTTTTGAGAGAAAACAGCAATGTTTAAATATATTTGCTTTTTAAAAATTCCTCCATTTTTGCTGTTAAGTTTGAAACATTTTAGAGAGTAAGATTCAAGTACATTATTTAAAACAAGTACAAAAGCTTTCTTTCCTTCTTTTAGCTAAAAATGTTCCTAACATTCACTCCTTATAGTAATGTTTTCTGGTATTCTTATCTTCTAAAAGAGTCTAAGTCAATAATAGCCGAAGTTTTAAACTTATTACTGGAAGTATGAGAATAATTAGTGTAACTTCTGTTTTTTCTGCATTTTAGGATGGGGTGGAGTTGTATATGGAAAGTCAGTAAATAACGGAACAATTTTTCCAGAGGCCACATAAAACCTGGTTTTTGGTCTTTTCCTTCATTCCCTGTGTCTTTTCTCACCAAAAGGTCTGATGATAGTCAGTTCCCAGCTTTGAAATATAATTGCACTGAATTTAGTTCAGTGCATTGTACTGACCTTATAGATCATTTCATTGTATTAAGCTATGGGTTTTTTGTCTCTGTCATAACGATATTTGTCCTTGTGGAATTTGACTTGTTGGTTTTGATTTGAAAGGGTTGCCATCCCACTGAAACTGTTAAATAATGAGTTGAGTTCCTCTTTTCATTTTTTTTTAACTCAACACATTGCTGGCATCCTCTCCAATGTTGCAGTAAGAGGTCTGAAAAGTTACTTTTGCCCATTGCAGGGAGACATCAACTTGATATCTATCTTATGGTTTAAGGCAAAGCCTTTGGCATAATTTTTGTGATTTTTCTTTTCCATCTGAATCCTGGCTACTTAAGTAGTGTTGGCTCCATTCAGGTAGTATCCTTTGCTAATTCATCCACGTACAACTTAGGTTTTAATGGATGGTCAGAAAGCATACAGAAATAGTCAGGGTCATGCTACATCAATCTCCTTAAAGAAGTGTTTTTCCTTTGTGTTGTTCTTTAAGTTAGAACACATAATAGAAGTATAAATACAGAAGAATATATTATGCATCTAGAAAGCATGTAAGTATGTTTTAAAAATCCTATTAAGATATAAATTGCCCACCTTAGTATGAACCACTCTTGCTTGTTTTTGTTTTCTGTTTTAATAAAATAGGTAATGTTTCTATAGACTCACCATTGAAATAAAGGCACAAAAGTCAAACCTTGTGAATTCAATCTCCACTTTACCATATAACTGTACATTAAAGTGTCTTTTCCCCTTTTTGTTGCCTGCATAATTGGATAGAAAATAAAAGCTCTGCCATTTTAGAAGGTCCAGCATCTAGAGAGAAGGAGCCTGAGTCCTTTAAGGAACAGATGCTATATCTGTGAAATAGAAAATTGAAACATTATTCACAGAATGTTACTAATATTTATATTCAACATAAAACCAAATAATTATCTAGCAATTCTATTCACTGGACCAAAAAATTCTAGTGTCTATGACAATAATGCATCATTGCTTTTGTTTAAAACCAGAGATTATGATTTTTGAATCTTTTTCAACCACAAGATGTGCTTTGTAATATAAAATGGGACTAGATTTCTTTACCTAGAGAAATGCATTTCAGTTAAGAATTACTCCCATCTTTTCTTTTAATCTGAGATTGAAAGGGTAAATATGTTCTTATCTATGACCTTACTAGAAAATATAGTATTGTATTTGTCATTTTTGATTATGCTTTTTCAATACCCAACGTACACATTCAGTAAATTTAAACATATCCCAGACTTTGAATTAATTATTTTTTGTTGCATGTTGAACTAATTGGCTTGAATACTTTTATGTGCTTTTGTTCAATTCCACATACAAATTTTAGGTTATTCATCTGAAATGAATGAGTTTTAAATTATTTAAACTTTATACTGCTAGTGTGTGACCCTCTGAGACTGTTTTTAAAGAACACACAGCTCTTTCCCCCTTAGACATTACGATTTAATTTGTTTGGGATACAAAAGCCATTTATCTTGTATTTTTTAAAATGCTATGTTGTTTATTATGCTTTGATAGATTCACAAATTATTTCTACTTTTCTTTAAACAAACGTATTTGGAAATTGTGATAGTTCAAGATGAAATAGCTTGTGCCTTTTAAGCCTTGATGGATGAACATTAACTATCTCACCATGTCATTTAAATGGCTGAGCATAATCTTCCTGATGCAATCCATAATATATATCCCAGAACAAATTTGTGTTTTCTTTTCAAGTACTCTAAAATTTCAAATACCTCTTTCCTTATTTTACTCAGCAACAATCTGCAATTTATTTTTCTCCAGGAAAATTGAATCTGTTACTGCTTAGTATTCCTACCAGTTTGAAAAATGTGGTTTATATTGGCATCAGAGCAGTAATTTACATATATTGGGATAACAAGAATGCGTGCCAGAAAAAGATCAACATAAAATGAAATGCAAAAAAGCTGTTTTCCTTCAACAGCAAGTCAGAGTGAAGCTAATAGAGAAATTGATGAGCATCTGCCCTGAATGTGTCACTTGTTTCTTCCAGGTGAAGTGTGACCAGTATTGGCCCAGTAGAGGCACAGAAACCCACGGGCTGGTCCAGGTGACGCTGCTCGATACCGTGGAACTGGCCACGTATTGTGTTCGAACATTTGCACTTTACAAGGTTTGCCTTTTTTCCTCTTCTCTTCCCCTTTCCATTATTTAAAGAAAGCTTTTTTTGAGAAATCAAGTATCTTATGACTTTGCTTAAATCTTGATTCCACTGGCAACATTGAACAATGAAATAATTCTTCCATTATCGCTCAACAATTTTTCTTCTCGTCCAGTGATCTATCAGTAAAAATGGAACTCTCACTATGAACGTAAGTCTCGGCAAATGAAGGATAGATGAAGAAGAACTAGTTCTTTCTGTAAAAATAACAGGAGCATTCCTGATAGTTACAACTGAAAAATGTAATACTTCTTACCTAAGAATTTTTATACCTGAGCAAATAGTTGTCATTTACAAATAGCTTGACATTGATTCTCCAAGGAGTGTGTCTCCCCAAAGGTCATAGGGTAGGAGGAAGGAATTAAGATAGCACATTTTCGTGTTACTTCTTCCATATTATTACCCATCATTGCAACTGACGCCAGGAAAACAGAATTTCATCCTGTCTTCCTACTTCACAGAATGGGTCAAGTGAGAAGAGAGAAGTGAGACAATTCCAGTTCACTGCCTGGCCTGATCATGGCGTTCCAGAACACCCGACACCTTTTCTAGCTTTCTTACGGAGAGTCAAAACCTGTAACCCTCCTGATGCAGGTCCTATGGTTGTGCATTGCAGGTAAGAACCACTGAGAGCATTTATTTTTCTCACAGAAGGTTTGCAAGGAAACACAAGCTTCTTCACTGGATATTCTCTTTCCAACTTCTTGATATTCTGGGATAGTAGATGTCTTTATAAATAACAGAAGGCATCTTTTTTTGGTCAAATGAAGCTTATGCTAACATGAACAGACAGGATTTGATGTAGATGATTATTCTTCTCTGGAGATAATAAACAACTGTGGTTCATGCTATTTTCTCTTTGGAGCAAAGATAAATAAATGTATGAAGCAGAATAGAATTAAGAATCACTGGGTGTCGTATGTAAACCAACTTGACAATAAACTATAAAAAAAAAATGTATTTCCTGAAATGTAGTTTCACTTATCATGAATCTTAATATAATCACACTTGAGCTAAAAATGTTTTAAATGTGAATTACAAAATATATTATAAACTCAGAGAAAGAGAAAATAAAGAATGATATGATTATAGTTTTAAAAAAAATCAATATGGTTCAAGTTTTGTCTATGTGAGGGGATATTCTTTAAAACGTAAGTAGGTAGGTAGGTAGGTAGGTAGGTACATAGGTACGTAGGTAAGTAAATGAAGTGTTTGACAAGTTCTTGTGGCCTGGCCTGATACAACCTTTTTACTATTTATCAGGGGAAAAAAATGCTGAACGAAATAATATTGTAAATATAAAAACTTTTAGCTGGAGTGTCATTGCTTAAAGATACCTTTTATATATTAATATTATCAAGTCATGTGTAGAAAATATACTAATTTGAGCTTTACAAATTTATTTAATATAATATATACAAAGACTTATATTTTGGAAGTATTTATTTTGTGTACTTGGAGGTAATGAGCTTGTATTTATTTCTTTTGAAATTTTGCATACTTTATTATCATTTTTTACTTAATTCTGACTAGCATTCTCTGTATCACCACTCAGATTCTACTATATGTGTGTTTTTACATTTAAATGATTTCTTTTTCTTAATTTTAATTATTTTTATAGAAAGTAGAGAAGCAGGAAGAGAGGGAGAGAGAATCCTAAGCAGGCTCCACACTGTCAGTGTGAAGCCTGATGCGGGGCACAAACCCATGAACCCCAAGACCATGACCTGAGACGAAACAGGAGTCAGATGCTTAACTGACTGAGCCACCCAGGCAGCCCTACTACATATTATTATATTACTATATAAACCTATAATGCTACTATATAATTCATAATAGTTCTTTGTATCTGAGTAATTCAAATATGAGAGAATATGGCTCCTTGAATAGACAAGTAAAATTGCAGGGAAAGTATATAAAAAAGGAAAGAAAGCATCTATCATAAACCACTTCTATCATGACTTAGTAGTATAACTCTTTCATATCGTATCTTATACTTGAGCATAATACAGTAAGTAGATCTTAGAAATTACCTCTGTTTTTACAAAACATGGGGACAATAGCTCGAGTGGAATAACTGCAATAAAATTCACCTGACTAACCCATCCTACTGTGGTCATGGTTAAACACCAGCCTGGCAGGTTTTGAACAAGGTGATGTTTTATTTCTCTTTCCCAGCACTCTTCCCCCAACAAAAACTAATAACACCACATTATATTTATAGAGCATTTTACCAATTCCAAGGCACTTTCCCATGCTTTATTCTGCTTGATATTCTTACCAGTATGTCAAATGAAGAGACGAGAGTAGAAGAGAGGCTACAGGACTTGGTCCAAATACTGACAGCTAGGAAGCCAGACAGAGTCCCACTCATGTCTTATAATCTAGTACTTGCTCTTCTGGACCTGACACTATGTTTCAGCATTTCACATGATTCTTAAACCCTAGTAAATATTTTTATTGATTTGAGCAAATGCTTTTACATCATGACAGCAGATTTCTGGTTTTCCTGCCTGCTGGTTTCAGCAGGCACTAGTGTGACCAGTCTCTATATTCTGTTATAAATACTTCTTTGCAGACCTCAAAAAACCATTGTGGCTGGTTACATGGTGCAACTGCTTGGCACCAGCACAACTTGATTTTGAAGATCACATATGAAATGTTTTCTGATGAATTTTGGCCACAGGATAGGGAAATAGAAAGTTTGGGCTCATTGAAGAAAATTGCCCTCATGTGCCTAGTGGAAAAATATAATTCATGCACATATATATGTACACACACACACAAAAACAGAGGTATATAAACAAGCATACATGCGTGCGTACACACATATATATTTATATTTATATAAAACACATATATTTATATAAAATACACACACACACACATATATATAATAGGAATAACAATTAGGGAAACCTAACTTGGAAGTTTTCACAAACATGGTATTTGCATTACAGTTTGAAATAAAGCATGTTCCCTCTCTCAAAATATGCTTTCCATTCCTGTAAATTAAAGTGGAAGACCTGGGAAATTTGGTTGATTGAGTGATTTATTAAAAATGCAATTTATCCACTGTTGATCATAGCCAAGGCATAAGCTTTATGTTACTTACTCAGTTGGATCCCAAAAAGTTTGTGGGCAAGTAGGAGAGAGAAGACAGAAGACGGATAACTATAATGCTTCATTTTGAGAAAATACATACACCCCTACACACACACACACACACACACACACACACACAGAGATGTTATGTTACGCCACCTAGACTCACTTCTGAGAGATACAAGCAACCCCCACCAAGAAATAAGAAAACAAAGATGCACGTGCTGAGCTAATAGCTGTTGACATTTGGAAGTGCTGTGCCTGAGGCTCAGGAGAAGCTCTGTACGAAACAGAAGAATAGGTTTATTGGTGAAAGAAATTTATTAGCAGCTTTGAAATAATGAGGGAAAGATGCAGCATGAACTGAGCTCTGAGAAGTGATTTGTGTTCACCCATGGGTTATCTTATAAGTCTGTGAGAAATTTTGGCCTCTTTATTTAGGAGAAGCCATGTTGCACACTGTCACACTTGCAAACCATCACGAATTCTTGACTTGGATACAGTGTATGTTTAAGCTTCAGAGCACAGTTCTTCCCCTGGAGTAGCAGAGAAAAGTCACTGCAGACAACAACTGGTTATGTGGGACCCAAGAAACCCTAGCTTAGAAATAATCTCTAAGCAGGAAGGAACTTTGCAGAGAAACACAATAGACTAGTCACAGAGGAATACTGACTACAGGTAACCACGATAATGCTGTAAATAATCACACATTATGTATGGAATGTAAATACTGCATTTCATGTTGATATTTCTCTCATGATGGACTTGACTTTTTTTCTCTGTAATGAAGTAGTGACAAACTCAAACCCAAGCCTTCTGCCAAACAGGTATAATGAAAATGGAGAGAGTTTTAAGTGAAACCTGGTAGTACACCAAAAATAAAAGGTGGGGGGGACAGAAAGAGAGAATATTCATATTTCTTTAGTAGTTCTGCCTAGTAATCAGTATGCCGGGACTAAAAAGAGCTATTATGAATAGGAGAAATTCTAACAGTCAATAGTAAAAAAAAAAAAAAAAAAAAAATAGGAGGCTAGCCCAGTGTGGTAACTACAGATAAGACCTTGGAAGGTCAAGAAGGAAAGGGTCTACATACCTAGAAGTTTCTACAAGCCCAGAAAGACCAGCTCTAGCCATCAGTCAATTCATATAGAGCATATAAATTTAAGATTAGGAGGGCACACTCTGGAGAGAGACTGCCTGGGTAAAATGCTGGATTGTTTGCTTATGGGCTCTATGCCTTTGGGCAAGTTATTTCATATCTGCTAGCCTCTATGTCTTCACCTGTAAATGGGTTAACACTCCTCATAACAATAATAATTTAATAAGGTTAACTGAAATGATATTAAATGATAAAACATTTACAACAGTATATAGTATGTAGAAGTATGAAATAATTTTAAATTATTGGTATATTATTAAGTTTTAAAGGCTATATGTATATTTACAACTCAAGAGAAAATAATAAACATTCACTTAGATATAATCTATATGACTTGAGCCATGAATAACCAGATGTTTATAAATATACAATATTTAATCAAATAGGTTTTTAAAAATTTAGATATTTTTCACCGTGGTAATTACATCAAATTTGCCCCAGTGATGGAGAACATTTTCTCATTTACTATGAGTTAAAATAATTTGTTGTAACAAATACCTGTTCTTTACAACCTGAGAAACCATTGAATTCTTAAAGTGATACTGTTATGGGTACATAGAAATTAATGTTGTGGTTCTTGATGCCTTCAAGATAGAATCTGAATTTAGCATTATGTTCCTGGCCCTTTATAATCTAGACTGATGCCTCTTTCATGCCTCATTGTTCACTCTCTTAGCTAGTTCACTCACTGGCTACACATTCCAAGTGCTCTCATCTCTGGCTCTTGGTAAGTGGTAATTTATCCACTCTAGAATATCACCTATTCCTCTCTCTACCTGGTGATGTTCAGCCTTGTTTCATAATCTACCTCAAATAGCACGTGCCCTGCATTGCAAAGGTTGCAAAGCAGCCTCAGATGATTTTGTTGACATCTGTGGTAATTTTTTTTTTAATTTAAACTTGAATGCCTTTAAACTGGAAGGCAGTATCCAGTTTTCTAAATCTTCTGTGTCCCTATTATTTTACACACAGTTCAACTCGTCCATTTACAGGGATTGCTTCATATTATAAACATCTGAGTTGAAACTCTGGAAAATCCTTTTAAGCTCATTCCTCATTCCTCTTCCCACAGAAAGAATTAAACACTGTATTCTCTGAGCTCTCATAAAATAGGTTCACGCTTAACATATTTAGCTATATGTGTATAGATCATATATGCCTTGAAATCCCAGAGGGCATGGGTGATGGCTTATGAACATTTGTATCCCACCTCTTACATCATAGTAGGTGCTCAATAGCTGCTTTCTGAAGTTAATTGAATTCCATGTGGTGTTTTACACATTTTTACAGAAGTAGTAATATCATTTCAGGACTGAACTGTTTTTTATTATTTAATATAAGACTATACTTTT